CGCGCACGCCTGAGGCATCCCCGCGCGTGGGGTTTTAAAGCCAGCGCTGAAGCGGGGAGCCACGCTGCCCTCTTCCCTGGGCGTTATACAGCAAGCGGGCTAACTCTGGGGAGCAGCTCTGCCGGAGGCTGCTGCCCGAGACGGGTAAAGCACGCACCCGGCCTTACCTGAAATATTTTAGAAAGGGCAGCTCGTCATTCTGCCCACACTGGAACGGAAAGCGCTCTCCCCTGCTGCTTCTCTTTAGCCACAAAGGTTTCCGTGCAAAAATCATCTTTCAGAAACGCTGCTCGGCTTAGAGGCTGGCCTTTACGCCTGGTAAGGGGCTGGCATTTAACACGTCGTTGTTCAAAATTCAAGAAAGGATTTGGGAATGTACATTAAAGTCTCCCTGAAAGTAAGGGAAAATATGAAGAGGTTTAGCGTCATGTCGTAAAGGCCATTTACGATACTTTGACAAGAGGAACAATGTGGGTTAACACGTCGGAGTTTCATTTTGTTTCTTAATGAAGGTATTTGTAGTGGCATCAGTTCAGTGGAAAGCAAGGGGAAGAATTCTGAGGGAAACTAAACAATCTGTTACAGTAGCAAGCAACTGCTGGCCATACATTTTCCCAAATTCTGCATAACAAAGGAAGAGTAATTATAACCATCAGTCTTGACAGTATATTTTAAATGGCGGTGAGATTTGCTTTTTTTACCCCAACAGTCAGCTCTGAAGCTGAGTACACCTAAGTACAGGATTAGAGGAGAAAGAGTGAATGCGTACCTTGCTAGGAAGAGCACAGAGGTGCGCAACTGAAAGGAACCACCAAGATCAAGTCCAGTCTCTCGCCCTCACAACAGTCACGAGCAAATAGAAGAATAGAGATATGTCACTTCCCTTCAGCTTGGAAAGCATTAGACATAACTTCAAAAGACCAGACAGGGATTAGCTTTCAGGCACAAGAGTGCAGACTTGTCTTTGTCAATGTGTCACAAGATTGTACCATGATCTGAAGGTTCAGTTCAGAACCTTCTTCCAAGCTACAGTAGCTGGAAATGCTGTTGTTTGTTTGTTTCCACAGGCAAGTCTGCAATAGCAGTGTTAAAGTTTGCAGGCAACAGCTTTCCCTAGTGAAATAGAACGGGATTGTTGTTCCAGTGGAAGTATTAGAAAGTGAGCTTTTCTTCATCACCCTGGAAATAGCTCTTTGTGCATCTTCTGAGCACTGCATGGGTTTCACAGTTATAGAAAGTGCAGCCTATCTACAAAATAAATAATCTGATTGCTTGAGTCTCAAACGTTTTATAAAGCAAAATCCAACTTCCAAGAAAAACTATTTTCCTAGCCATCTGTAATATTCTCAGTAGGAGAAAACATGAAGATAGAGTCTTTTAAGCAAGTGGATGAAAACTGATGGTTATATACTTTTCTATGTGTTATATGTAAGAGGTTATTTCCTTCTTCTTAGAAAACCTGTGAAGAAGATTTGTACTGCACTAGGAAGGCCAAAGTACCATGGGGGGCATTTTGCAGAGGTGAACTTCAGTTCTCCAAAACGCCGCTTACTGTTTCCTAATACCAGTCTCATGTTCATTTATGTTGACCACGCTAAATCATATTGTGATTACTTTCCACATTCTCTAGAGTAATTCACTACTTTTGATGCCTTCCAAAAACCTTAATCAGTATTGCATTTGCATTTGAGAAATGTTTCATAACAAGGCAGGACTTGGTCTCCGGCCTGACCTACACACAAAGTGGTACAGTAAATGAATTAAACCGATCTAAAACTTAAGTAGACACGTTTACATGAATTTAAACACAGCCAGCATTTTAAACTTGTCTTAGTAAGTGTACGTGATTTTAAAAATAACGTAGCAAGTTTCAGACAGAAACAGATGACTGAATCCAAACCATGCTTGTGTTTGCATTTTTGTTGTATTATAGCTGCTTTTCTATAAGGCATTTGGCTTAGTATCACATTCATACTTTGGTTTAAAAAATCTGGCATTTAGTGGCATTAACAGGACACAGACGTTAGGTAGATTTAAAAGTCTTTCATTGACTGATTTCAAAATGCAATCATTAATGTCGAGATGTCAGTGTGAAGGTCTATTTCTAGAAGATTTCTTTTGGGAATTGATTCTTCATTTCATCAGCAGTCCTGATGATACAGAATCTTGCCCGGTAAAGTTTGCAGTTAAGTGCAAAGGTTGCTGGGTTGGTAGATAACAAAGAGGATTTTGTTATCCTCTTCTTATTGCAGGATAACCTAAATCACCTGGTTAGAAGGTTTCAGCCCACAAAGATGTGTTTTAATACAATAAAATGCAAGTTAATACATTGGGGAACAAAGACTACAAGTTATGCCAGTAGAATGGAAAGCTGTCTTGGAAAATTGTGTATCTTTGGGAAGCATACAGGGATCAAATAATTGCTTCAACATAAACTACCAGTGCAGGCTGTGCCTCAAAGGCTAATATGATCTCTGAATGAATTCAAAAAGAAGAGTGAGGGAAGTGATGTTGCCTGGTTTTGCAGCACTGGAACGCAGCATTCAGTTCTGATGTCTATGCTTCTGAGAGTGTTCAGGGGAGAAATGAAGAGAAAAAGTAGGGAAGGATCAAAAACACAGAAGTGATCTGGGGGCTGGAAAAAAAATAGGGATTATAGGGACAGGGCTGAGAAGCTAAGCTTACTCAGTGTATTATGCTTATGGTAAAGCTAAAAACACTAAAAATTGGGATACTACGGGCTGATCTATTGAGAAGGTGAAGTCAGACTTTGCTGAACTTCCAGGTTATAATGAACAAAAAAATGAGGTTTTTAAAGCCAGTGAAACTTCTGTGAGTAGAGAAACTCTTGAAAATTACTCAAATTGTTTGTTACTGTTTAATGAAGCCTTTTAAAAATTATTGCTTGCATCTATGACCAGGGGAAAGTGTCACTTCTTTGAAGTTTAATTTGCATTTCATCACTGTGATACTAAGAACTCCTTGGTCAATTTCCATTTCACAGATCACAGTTTCCAAAACATGGTGCAATTTCAGTAAAGAAGAATCAGATCTGGGGACTCTATGTTTGTCACATATTAAGTTAATAATCACAGATTTACCTGTTCAAACAGAACAGTAGACAATTCTAAATATATTCTTTACCATGCTCAGAATTGACTCAGCTCCTATGTCTGGGAAACCTAAATGAGAAAATATTTTTTTTCCAAATCTACTTTTTCTCACTAATGCCATTAAGAATGGCATGATGGCAACACAAGAAACCAAGCTGTGTGTTCTCATGTTTCACTGCATGTCTTCTGGGCACATGTTCTTCTAGACGGAAGAGGTACATGCATATAGGCCCCCCTGTGAGAGAATATGACCTATAATGGATCACAGTAAAATTACCCACAGGGGCAAACGTTCATGTTTGTGGATCCAATTACAGGACTGAGATGTCCTGAGATCTTAATGTGGCAGAACAAGTATTAAGTTGTGGTCATCACAATCAAAAAGCAATGATTTTAAGTGTGCTTGTACTTAAGTTCCAAAACAAAAACCCCCAAAATTTCTTCTGTTCAATATCTTCTTTCTAAAATAGTTTAAAAGTAGAGCTCTAGATAGTAAGAACTACTTCCATGGAGAACAGTATGTTTCTTTCTGAAGTCTGGACAACCCGGAGAACCTGCTTGACCCTCCTGATGTGCATGTGGATGCAGTTGGGTGTGCGTTGCACACGTGTGTGACCCTGGACTCAGAGTCACAATATGCATGTCAGGGTTTGCCTGCCTGGTTCCCATGCCGGTACTGAACGTTCTCTTTTGGGATGCGGGAGCACTGAAGTACAAGTTTTTTGCCTCTCTGAGCTGCCCTCTGTGGGCTGTTCTAGCCAATTTATCACCATTGCCTGCACCATTCCTGAATTTTAGACTTAATGCTGCACCCATCCCCAATGGGTTTTTTAAGGTTGAACTCCGAATATTACCTGGCATCAGAATGCATTTCCCTGGTGCACACCTCAGAGCCTATTTTAAGAAAACACATCACTTGATTTTCTATGCTCATGTTTCCTGTGTATGTAACAGCAAGTCACAGATGAGGTGGGGGTCAGGCAGCCGTTGCAAGTATTCCAACTTGCAGAGGGAGCTGCCAACTTGTTTAAATAAATGTTCAAATGCCAAAAAGCAGTGAAGAAGGCTGACGCTGTCAGGCCGCCTCCCAGGTGTTTGGCTTTCTGCACCACCACAGTCTACTCCCCTTCCACCAGAGACCTCTGATCGTCTTCTCTCTTGATTTGCCCAGAGCAGTGCCTGCAGCTGCACTTCTGAATGCCCATAGGAATATATCAACTGCCTACAGTTTGGAAGTGATGGTATGGAAATAATTATGGGAAGGACTGATGGGGGAATCTTGCAGTTCTTTTATGAATTTGCAGTGACCATTTAACTATCGAGCAGCAGTTCCCATGTTTCCGTGGACTGCTTTTTTCCAATTAAAAGATTAACTATTTAAGCACTTCATATTAAAATATCACAGGGACTTTTGGTAAGTATATATATAACCTGGAAAAGTCATTTTGTCCTACAGAATTTAGATATTTAAAAGTTCTGAAAGTTCTTGGCCCAAAAGGCATTGAGTGCAACCTCTTTGTTTTCTAATAGTGGAGAAGGAGGTTCTTACTGCTTCATTCAGGGCATGTTGAGTGTAAGGTGGGAACATGTAGATTGCCGATGGTCTCAGCAGTCCAGCTGTCCATGAATTCCTCTAGTTTAAGTGGGGCTGTTTAAGTTATGCTGCTCTGAACCTTCCAGAAAAGTTCTGAAATACACTGGAAGTTTTCTCCTGTGCCTTAAAGCATTGCAGATCAGAATCTTATTGCAGCTAAGTGTGCTGAAAGGCTTGCTCACTGAGTTCAGATATGGCAAGAACTTAAGAGTAACAGGTCATCTAGTCTATCTCCTCACCCAATAAAAAAATCAGTCCTTCTGCCATCCCAAAAATCCGTGTTGTGAAGTAAGACTCCTCCTAGATCTCTAGAGCCATCTGGAAAAAAAAAAAAAAAAGTATCACCCGGTAGCTGTAGAAGGTGTGTGCTTGTGGTACCACAGCTGCAGCGACCCTTCTGAGCTTACAACTGTTGCCGATTCTCCGTCTTTCTTCTAAGTGGTCCAGGGCATCTGGTCTTGCTGTGAATATTCTGTTCTTTCACTCTAGTGTGTGGACTACAGCAGCGGAGCCCTGACTGGTGACCTCTGCGAAGACTTATGTGTGGCACAGAAGCTGGTGTACAAACACTGCCTTTACTATGACAGAGGTAAGAAGGTCATCCAGGCTGACTGGAGAGGCCAGCCTATCATCCTGAAATCCAAAAAGGAAATCTTCTCCAGCTACCAGCATCTCAGTATGCTAGAGGAGGTGGAAACACAGGATATTCCTGAAACAGAGCTTCTGCTGATGGTAGCCCTGGAGGTCAAAAACGTCCTGGGGCTAGAATTATCTAACAATACCATGGGACCCCTGTGGACAAGGAGTAAGGGACCACATTGGAAAGCACAGGTGGCCAGCATGTGGTCCTTGCTCCAGCAGGAAGAATATATCTACTTCAGTTTACTGCAAGACTTCAGCAAACACGTGCTACGAATTATTGGCTCCTGTGGACATTTCTATGCTGTGGAGTATCTCACAGCTGGACATGCCTGGCACAAAACTCTTTTTCCCTTGGAAAATATGGCTGGTCTCTCCCTTACTGGCAGCCAAAGCAGGGTGAGAGCCATCATAGACATTGCACTCAGCTTTCTGGATATGGTGCAGCATTTTGATAACGATTTCTCTCACCGCCTTCACTTGTGTGACATCAAACCAGAAAATTTTGCTATCAGGCACGATCTGACGGTAAGTTGGGTGTGTTGCAGCAATCTGAGGTCACTTTCTAGTCTGAAAAGTGACTGTGTAAAAATCGCACTCCCTCCTCACACAACTCTGGGCCAAGTTTCTTGCAAAACCAACTCATTTTAAAGTGGCATGGGAGATTCTTATAATGCTTTTCCCCTTTGTAATATCTGCAGCCACAGTTCTTTTGATTTGTTTCACCTGCTCAAATGCACTGACGCCAACAGGATCTACTGGGTCTGACAAAGAATGCCTTCTGAAGGCAAGATTTCAAAAGCTGTCAATGAGCCAAAGCAATTACTTCCAGTACTATTGCTGAAAAGAAAAGTTGTTTGAGTTTCAAAGCTAAGGCTGAATCCTCTGGTTTGACATGAGGGGACTCCCCCCCACACAGAGAACACACACCTCTTTTTGCTTTAGTGCTGAGCTCATTTGCTCTGGAAATCATTAAAGGACATTGACATGAAATTCCCTGGTACTGTTTGATTTTTCATTGTACAGCTCTACCCCCAAATTTAGTATTTTTAAATATTGATATGGCCTACCACTGTATTGCTGAGTACATCTTACATTCACTCCGCAGACAGAAATTCCACTGATTTCAGTGGGAATTATGTGTACGGACTGAGGCCACTATGTAATAAGCATTTGAACTAGACTCACAGTTTGCAGTGACATCAGTGGAGTTTCTGCACTCTGAGTAAATATAATATATCTTCAGGAGCTTGAATAATAATTATTATTCACTGAGCGTTAATATAATACTTGTATCTTCAGAGTACTGGACAAATATTGCCTAAATATGTAGCCATTAAGAGCAATTAGAGTGCTTCCCCTTCACCCATCCATTCACTTGCATTGTTTATTCAGGTGCAGTACAGCAGTTGAACAGGGAATGGGTGGAGGACTGTAGCAAGAAACTAAAAAAGGCATACCAGTGTTTAGGCAAAGTGAGATATGACAGAGATTCTTCAAGACAGGCTTTGCTTATCTTTCTCAGTTACACAGGGCTGTTACTGGACATGGCTGAGCACACGTTAGAACATCTGTTTTACTACCTACTCAGAGGAGAAGAGATTTCATTTAGGAGAAGAGAAAGAATATTGGATGCATCTTCCATTACAAGTCCATTGGGTGAGGCACAGTTCTCCAGGATCCTCCCACGACTTCTAGGGTCCACAGAGACAGCAGTCACCCTCTGGCACAGGAAAGCATTCTACTTCAGTATTTTCTAAGAGAATTAATGACAGAAAAATGTGACCTGCTACTTTTCTCCCTCATGGGTGTACTGGCTGTACATTACAGATGATGTATCTCTTGCTATCCCCCAGCTGGGTGGAGAGACAGGAGATACACAGTCAGAAAGGTGAAGGGGAAAGCAAATATTGCTTCTGATCAGTGAAGACAGAAGGAGAATAAGAAGCAGGAACTCCAGGCTGTTTTACCGATCAGTTCCAGAAGAGTGACAGAACAAAGGCAACCTCCCTTTTGTCCCTCCTATTTATTTTAAGCATTTTTTGCACGTGTTTGTTTCTTGTACCCTGTTTAGAATAATAATAAAAACAAAACTCAGAATAGTTCCACTATTCCTTATCCCACCTAAATAAATGATACTGCCAGTGCGCACAGGAACGTGTCTGGAGTGCAACAGTTCTACTATAAGCATCATTTCCAAATGATGGGGCTAGCTCCCCAGTCCTCATTCCAGCCTTCAGTGCTGTTCCTGCAGTGCAGAGTGGAGGAAATGATGCCATAGCAGATCACCCAGGGGAATGTTAAGCTGCCATGGAGCCATGTAAGGGGCAGAACTGGGAGGAGATCTGGTGGAAATCTGCTGTATTCCAGGAGGGCTTCCTAATTTAACAGCATCTCAGAGAGAACTGGAAAGATTACAACACCTTTAACAAGAACTTTAAGTTAGGTCAGGACCCAAATTGCTTCCTTCCTGGATTTCCTTAGGACTCCATACCCTCACCATCATTTACCACTGTAACAAAACTTACCACGTTGTTATCATTTACAGGTAAGAGTATCACCAAGATATATCCTTACATTGGCTGGCTGGATGCCTGCACATTTTTGTGATAGGTGATCTTCAGTGAAACCACTGAACCCTTTGACAGCTGCGTGTTTAGAAGCCGGGGATGCTTTGTGTAGCAGAACAATTGTTCAGATTGTCAAGGGTGCTCAGTGTCAGCAGAGGCCTCACCAGGATGTTAATGCCTAAGGTCTTGGGGAATGCTACATCTCTTTTATTATCTCTTCACCCTGTTCCTGCCCCAAATACACCTTGGCCAGACACAAGGATTTCCAAAGAATTTATCAGCAAAACTGCAGAAAGCTTAAGGAAGGAAAGAAAAAAATGTGCCTGTCCAAATGTGTGAAATTCATGACTATCAAGCTCTCCAAGAAGCTTAAAAATATTTGAGCTTTTAAGCTATGCTTCATCACTTTAAGATTTTCCCTTGGTGGGGACAGGATGGGGGGGAGCAGAATAAAATAAAGATTAGACCTTGTTTTTTCCTTTGCCTGAAGAAGGTTTATTTGGCCTTCTACCAGACCAGACATCTTTAGTTCCTGGGGTTGATCCAGCTCCTGCTCCAGCCACACAGTTCAGCTTCCCATGTTATTTGGGAGGTTGAATCTTAAAAATGAGACTATCATTTGAGCTCAAGTAAATCTGCTTTGCCCAGGTCCCAAACATTTCTGTCCATGCAAATTTATTTCAGCTGCTGCAAGATAGAGTCTCTGAATCAAGGTTCTGATTGTTAAATGTTAAACATCATATCTGAATGTGTGTTGATTGTTGCATTCATAGCACTGAAGGGAGACTTTTCACTTTGTTCACCCACAGTTTTTCTCACATCAAGCAACTGCTATCCCATCTCTGTCTTCCTTTCTTTCCCTGTTTATTTCTGTGATTTTCTTAAGGGGAATATTCATGGGTGGAGTGACACTGATAGAAACTGAGACTACAGCCCGTCACTCACAGAATGCTTTTGAATCCAGCACAGACAGCACCTATGCAGTGCTACACATTCAGTATTTTTGTGAGCTTATACCAGGACAAGAAAAGTGATTTGTCCCTTCAGTCTTCACCCACCTGCTGAGACCAGCTACTGACCGGACCCTGTTATGGACCATATTTCTGAGAAAGAAGAGTAAGAGCCATGCATGATAAATGAATAAAGCTGTAGCAAACAGGAGTGGGCAAAGCCAGTCCCAGCTTTAAACAACCTCAGGGAGTTATTTCTCCAGCTGAACAGATGCTAATCCACTGAATGACAGGGCGGAGCCCATGCCAGGTGCTGATAGCTCTTCACACCACACTGCTTCTCTTCATAACACTAAAGTCAGGGCTGACCAACAGTTAGTCTGAGAGGCAGATTGTGAAATGATACTATCTGGCCCTTGGATAATCCTCTACTATCATATAATTAAAAGATTGAGTTGCCATCTGCATAAACTACTGCAACGATTAAATCAGTCCTCAAATTGGATAGTCCTGGTTTAAGGGGAATCAGTCTAGTTGACCCCAGGGATGCCTATTGTCCACAGATAATTTTCCCTTTCGTGGCGTCTTAAGCATTGGCTGTTATTGGTTAAAAAGTGCTATTCGTAAGACTCCTGCTGCTCAGTTAAGCAGAAAAAAGCTCTTGCGCTGTGATCCCAGTTCTCTATTGGCAGATGCTCTCAGCACAGCATTTCCAAGAGAAAACAGCAAAGGAATGCTTGCTCAGCCCTATCCCACAGTCTGTGCTGTGCCAGTTTTGATGGGTTGTTTTGATCCACAGGTTGTGGCCATTGATGTGGATATGGCCTTTTTTGAACCCAAAATGAGAGACATCCTTGAACAGAACTGCACAGCAGATGAAGACTGTAATTTTTTTGATTGCTTTTCAAAATGCGATCTGAAAATCAGAAAATGTGGAGCACAGAGAGCCAACAGCAACTTGCAAGTGAGTAGACACAACTGCTTTATGCATCCATTTCTTTTAAAAGCACATGATTAACAAAATGTATGGTATGCGCTAGAACACTGTAAGATGAAGACAGACACCTTTTCAAATGTGGCCACATAATTGCCATTCCCATTCAGAAATCCCATCTTGGGCCGTGCAGACAGATGTTTATATTCACTAGCACTTATCTGCCTTATTTTCATGTAGGTGCTACAGAGGCTGTCTGTCCCAATGGCATGGAAATGAGAGTGAAAGAAATAGAAGCAGGGGGTTATCATTACTGTCACCAGTAATGGTAAAATCGGGGCTGTCTACCTGTAAACTGTAGGGGGTGTTGGCTGTGCTTCTCCACTGTATATAAGCTGTACATAGATGTAGTGGGGAGAGGAGTCCTTGGGTACTTGGGCCTGGAAGGAGGTGGGTTGTAACTCACATAAATTGTTATGATGGCATGCAGAAATGCTGGGGGAGCACAGCTCAGCTGCCTTTTGCCATTTTCTCCCACTCCCTCCCCCTCACCACTTGTTAGGCAGAAGTATAAGAGTGACCTGAGACAAAGGGGGATTCCTCAGGTAGAGAAGAGCCTCGGTTGAAGTTCCTTTTCTATATCTTGTGCTTAGAATGGCTGGAGGCCTTCTGAATCCAGCTGAAGCAAGACGCCTTGCTACAGTCCCGAGAAGCAGCAGGGCATTAGTTACAGCTCCTAGAAGACAGCTGTCTGCTCTTTTTCCTTTCCTCAGGTCATTTGTGACAAAATATTCCGCCGCTGGTTTTCTCCAAATCTCCGAGGGCTCCTGGTTTCCTTCCCGCTGCAGTTGCAGTTGCAGAAGGCTGTGCGTGAATGTGCAGAGCTGGCGCATGAGGATGCTGCTGTGCACCAGAGAACTCTGAAATCTCTCTCAGAGTTATACCATCTGCTTCGGGTCAGCCAACGTGAACTGCAAAGGGCAAAGTAGACGCGAAGGGCTGAGAAGACACAAAGGGAAGAGCTGCAAAGGCCTTGTCACAGCCACCGTAAAGGAAGCTGTATGAGAGGCAGTTTGGGTTTTCTTTTCTCTCATCCTTCTTATCCATTGTATTACATTTACAGCACATAAATTCATGGCTGCAGGTGCAGTGTGTCCTGTCAATATCCTTTGAAGCGTGAAATTGTTTTATGTTATCTGGATCCCATTCCTGCTTATTCTCCTGAGCTAAGGCTGGCACTCTCCATCAACATTCAGCACATCATCTGCTTACCCCAAGAGCTGTAGTCCCTGCTCAGCTAGCATCTGGCCTGAGTGGTGTGCTCAGAGTGATGATGCATTTACATATGGATGGTGCTTTGAAGATGAAAAGTGTTAAGTGCGGCAAAACTGATATCAATAATTTAAAATAGTGTGAGGGTGGGTGGGGGTAGGTATGTGAGTGGTGTCTCTTTCTATTGCTGTGTAGAATGAGGGTTTTAAAAGCAGGGACAAAGTGCTCTGTATCAAAAGACAGTCTCAAATAGGGAAATGTATTGCCACAAGAGTAAAGAACTGCTTCTGCAAAAGATTCTGTTTTTGGTGTCCCCAAATGCATTTCCTCTGATATATATTGCATTTCTTGTGCCATAGCAAGCTTTCTGGGGAGAAATTGTATGAAGGTACTTACAACTTTTCTACAGGAATGTAATTATACTCATGTTTCATTCCCATGTGGATACTCTTATTCTGCAATGAAGAGATATGAATAATGCCCCTGAGTTTTCCCATATGAACAAGCCCTCAGGCACTTGAACATCAGAGCACTTGATAAGAAGCACTAGCTTGCCAGGGAGCTGAATGACCCAGCGATCTGTCCTTTGCACTGAACAGAACAATAGCCAGACTCTGAGTTTTCTTACACAGTACTTTTTTTAATCAACAAAAGGAAATTTTTGGAATAGTTTATCGTCTTGCAATCAAGGAGACCAATTACATAAATAAAGATCCTCAGATTAATACAAAAACATTAGCTTTGCCTTTGTAACTTGGGCAGCTGTGGCTGGGGAATCTAACACAAAAGTTCAGAAGATGTTGTATGTGTTTAGGCCCAATATTGGTTAATACACCCATGAGCTGTTTTTGGCATGAAGACCTTAAAAACCAACCTTGGACCTTGCAGACCAATAAAAATAAACCAACACCCTGTGACAGTCCTCCCTTCAGAAAGGACTCTTCAATCTTAGGACTGACAATGCAGGTTTGTGGACGGGAGACACATAACACCTAATGTTTTTCATCCTCATATTCCTCAGCTTTATGACAGTTCTGGAGCTTCTGAGCAATAATTATTCTTAAGATTTCTATCTCTGGGCAACAGTTGTTCTTTAAAATGATGATAAAGATTGCTTGTCACCAAAAAATGTGAGCTGCTTAGAAGATCTTGACACTAATCCAAGATTAGCTCAAATTTTCAAGCTACCATTAGGATTTTTATTTTTTATTTTTTTGCAATAAACTACCATAATTTTAAAAATCACTCATGTTGCTCGTAGAGAACACAAGGTCGGCTGTCTTGCCTGAGGCGGCACTGAGGACGAATTGCTGCCAAGCCAGAACTAGAACTCAGGAGTTCCTGATCTGTAAAGTTGTGTTCAGTCCATACTTCTTTTGCCAGGAAGACAGAAAATATTTCAATATTTTAAGTTCATCCTTTGCAAAAGCAGGAAAGAAAAACAGAGTAAGAAGAAATCCAAACTCCAGAACAACCCCTATTTCAAAGCTGTGAAATTGATGGAGGAGAAAATTTTTAAGGACATAATCAGATTATCGTAAAGCGTTGGGGACAGACAAAGTATCTTAGGTAGAGATAAGAGGAAAAAGGAACAAGGGAGAAAACAGGAAAAATGAATTCAGAAACATGGCTCGCTTACTTTGTGAAAAGTTGATTTATGATGTAAGATTGAAGAAACTGGCATTTAAACGGGAGAAGAAGAGACTGGAGACAGACATGGTAACAGTTTTCAGAAACAGAAAAAGACTAACAGAAAGAGCAGGGGAGTGCAGTGTCCTAGCCAAATTTCTTTGGGGGATGCGACAAGCAACAAGCTTAAAATGTAGCAAGGAAAATTCAGGTTAGATACCTGTACCACACTTTCTTACAGTAAGAACAATGGAGCACTGGAACAGACCATTTGGGAAAACTTCAGTCTTCTTAACCAACGATTTTTAACTACAGGCTGGAGTGAGTGTCCGTCAGGAGGGATGTAAGCGTAGCTGAATCAGTGATCCTGCCTTGAGACAGCCTTCTATCCCCAGTTCCTGCGATTCTGTGATTTTTCAGCCTATGTTTGTGCTGTTGCCATTTGCTCCCAACACAAGACACACTGCAAAGACATTAGGATAGGTAACTCTCCTTTATGCTGCACGTGCAAACCTGTGTGCAAACCTGGTGACAAGCCCTGGAGTGGAAAGGTAGAGAGCGCTGTTACTTGCAACAGAGCCTGTGGCATGATTAGAGTTCACGTATCCCCCCACAAACAGAAAGATCCTCGCAAGATCAGGAGCAACTCAGTACAAAGCCCAAACACTGCTGGGGAACCTGAGCAGAACTTGTGTATTATGGCTGTCCTATTTCCCTGATCCCATTAATTCTTTCCCCATTCTGGGCCCAGAGAGTACCAAGAGAAAAGAAGAAGCATGAAGCCAACACCTGAGGCTGTGTAGCAGTGAAACACTCCATCGTGGTAGGGTTCCCCTTTCCAACCTCAGGTCTGCATTTCAAACAGTCAGGTCAAGTTTCTGTTATCATGGTGCTTCAGTTTTAAAACAGGAGAAAAAAAGACAGTAAAATGAAACTTGGGGGCAGCAAAATGCTGTCAGAAACTGCACTCTGTTCAGGACATTCTCCTTGGCAGGATATAGAAAGGTAAATTGCCTCTGACAAATTTCTCCAAGCCCTTCAGGGATTAGCAGCAGCCACCTTCGTCTCACAGAGACCTCCTTCCCCCACACTTTCTCAGCTCATTAGGTTTCATTTCTTCTTTTCAGGACGCAGAGAACAATCCTCGTGAACAGTGCCTCAGAAACCTCTCAGCAGCAAAGCAAATGGATTATTTGTACTTGGCTGGGCTGTGAGATTGCATATCAGTTACGCAGCCGGCTTTAGCTGGCTTTGGTACACCTTCACTGAAGAATAGAAAGACGAGGAGAATCTAACAGATTGTGTGAACACAGAGGGCTTGATTCTCCATTGCCCCCCTGTGCACCTCATAAAGTCACTCAAACCCAGGAAAAGGGAAAGAAAAATACTACCAGTGATGCAAATGAAAAATTCCAACTTATTTTGCATAGATACCAATGACCAAAGGAGGAATAAAATAGTAGAAAAATGGGCTTTTATCTCCACGGTATACAGAGAAAAGAAAACGAAGACAGTGGTTTAGTTGTCATTTACCTTAAGCAGGCAATGCAAATTGCAATCATATGAGAATGTATTATTTTGCACCCCTGTTTTACAGTGCAAAAGTCTATACAGGTATTGGGCAGTGAGGAATCAGGCCTACATGGCCCATTTCTCTCTTCTCACAAAGGCCTTTTTATATTGCCTTGGCAATAGTGGCTATCAAAAATAGCACTGGCATAGAGAGATGCCCAGCTGGCACACACTTTAGAGTGCATGGCCAGGTCAAATGGCTCTTGAATGAATCTTGTGTGCTGGTGAACCCTGGCTATTGGCACAGTCTGCTGCAGCATAATAGTGAGCAGCGATAGCTGGAAGCTCTTCAGTGAAACATTTCTGAGCTATAGTCAAAAAATGACAATTTGTCAAAAATGATATTGTACACAACAATATTTCAACTTTAAAAGTCCCTCAATTTAAATAGCCTTTGAGATCATTTTGAAAATGTCTAAAATACTCGATTCTGAAAACTTCTAACTGGAAACATCTACAAGTTATTTTCTCAATTTTACTTAATTCATACTGAAAAGGTTTGCAAAGTAAAAAGATGAAGATCAAAATTAATCACAATTTTTAAAAAGTGTTCTGATTGATCTACAAAGTGAAGCTTGTTAGTGCCTTCAGCATTTTGTGATGTTGACTTTTCATTCTAATTCACATGAAAAATTTTATGAAAGCTCAAAATCTTTAGCAGAGATTTTCTCACCCAGTCCTAGCGGTCAGATCCAAAAAAGGAGAGATCTGCAAACTGGCTTTAACGTCATCTTTGCTTCCCACTTTGTTTCTGCATATTGGTTAAGCTATTAACTTCGGCTGTAATGGGTTCTGCCTGGCTTCCCTCACTCTGAAGTACCTCCAAAGCACCTGCCTGCTTGGCATCCCTGTTTGGTATCTACTTCACTGCAGCTTTGTGAAATCACGGACTGCATAAGATTCTTCCTGCTGTTCTTTGTTCATCCCTTCATAAAGGATGACTTCTCTTTTATAGATTTACTAATAGCAGTTGGCTGCGCTGGAAATGGCCACTTAATCCAACAAATCTGTTCCCTTTAAATTGATCTCAGCCTCATCTCTTTGCTTGGTTAGTCTGTTCCTGACTCCTTTTCTCCCTATAAAAATGGCACTATCTCTTGATTCATTTCTACCACTTGGGTGCATTAGTGCCTTACTCAGCAACTTTCTCCCCATATTTATTGCTCTCTGTGAAACAGGAATGACATTAAGTCATTGTTTATTCCTTCTCTGCATCTCGGGTAACGGCATGTGTTTCAGCTCTGCAATAATCTAAATACACTATCTGTTCCCACACTTTACAAGAGGTGAGTACAGTTGGAGGTCTACTTCATAACACTTAGGAAAGGTAAATTCATCCATTTTTCTCAAGACTTGCACAGAATCCTTATTCCTTAAAAGCAGATTTTTGTCCATTTGGTATTTTGTGTTTTGCAAAACATCTGCAAGTGATAGGCACACACTGGGGTGATGTGGAACAGAACAAAACTTCTCTACCCCAGAAGATTTCCTTGGCCTCCCTTGTGCTTTCAGGGTTGACATAATGGTGACTAACCCAGAGCAGCAGGCCATAACTATAGTCACAGTCTCTCATATCAATCCTGCTACTCCCTAGTATGAATTCATTGACCCCACCACCCCGAGCGCGTTCACATACACATTGTCTGAGGCAGGAATAGGTATAAGTTGGGACTGGGGGAGAAGAGAGGGAGGACTTTGTTTTCCTTTGGTTAGAAACACTGATCGAACAAAACATTTCCTACAGGTGAAAAATGGAATTGGGAAGTTGGAGGAGTTAGGGACTCCTCATTAATTTTTTCCCCCCGTTTGAAAAGTATGGGCCCAAGCTGCCCGATTTATTCCTTATAGAATTTTCAAAAAATAAAAAATAAATAAAAGAAGCCATATACCATGTTACCTCACTTTCAACAGATCATATGATTGCACATAACGGCCTGGGAAGGTGATAAACTGCAGCTTTTAATGAGTATCAGGTTGAAATATTGGAGCCTTGTGGCTCTAATATCAGTGTACACATCTGGACAACCAACTGTAAAAAAAAAACAAACCCAAAAATAATATGCACAAATGGCATCACTGGAGGAGCACAATCAGACTAGCAGCCTTGGCAGATACTCTTAGAAGCCTGGTGCAGACAAATGTTGAAATCAGCCTGTTGGGGCTAATCTACAGTGAATCCAGGCAATAGGTGGTGTTACTAAGAGCCTTAGTCACTGGCACTGGTACCCTCCAGGAGCCTCAGTGAAATCAGTGAAAAGGTTTACATTTTAGCAAAGCTTTTAGCGGCAGAAAAAAACAGCAGCATGTAGAGAGTGAAAGAATGAGGAGCTGGGAAGAACAGAAAAGCCAAGAGAACTAAAGAGAATAAGAGACCCTGTATTTAAAAATCAGAAAATGTCAAGAAAATGTTGCTGGGAAAAAAATCCCAAACAAAAAACAACAACCAAAAAAACCACAGGGGATACGGACATTTCCATATTCACACACGTGTCTAAGGCTCTATCAAGTAGATGGAGCTGCTGTCCTGTCAGCCAAGAAGAAAAAAGGAGGAAAGACTGCTTCTCTTAGTAAAAGTATTGCATGTCTATTGTAGTATTTTTTAAAGTACTGAAATCTCTAGAAAAGCTATGATCCATAATCCTTTGGCTTTTTTTAAGTTTTGATAAATTAATATGTTGCCGGCTTAGGCCCTTGAACAGCAAAGTGATTGCTGAGTTCCTTTAAAACTCTTTGATTATTTTTGCCTTCTGAAATATAGTTCGAGCTGCTTTTCTGTAAACTGAAAAGGCTTTTCCCTGACTATGAAGGACATATGTGGTAACAGCAGCAAGATCCAATGCATAATCACTTCCACAAGCATCTGCTGCTAGTGCTTTCAA